ATTTTAATATAAAATATTATCTATACTTAGGTTTTGATAATTAAATTGATTCAGTAAAGGATTGGTTAATGAAATAGATCACGTAATTTTAATTACGAACAATAAAAAAATTATGATCAACAAGATTTTTCTGTGTAAGTCACATAATTATACACAATACAACAACTACAAGGAAATATTTTTACCTTGCATACAAACCTTCAATAACTAGATTATGTAGTATTATGAAAAACGGTACAGACAGGTACTGACAGTCCCTTCTTTTTCTTCTAGGCTTTTGTCATGGGCGCTTGTATTGTCTATATGCATTGATATAGGTATTAGGTAAATCTATAGATAGAAAATACCTACATTGATATAAATATATATTATTATGTATATCATTATCGGATACCTGTATATACAGGTGTCCCTGAAGTCGACGTTCAAAGAGCATCAGGTGATCAGCAAGGTTCCTATAGTTATCAGAAAAATATAAAAAAAATCCAAGTCAGATAGTTCCTAATTCATAAATGTGTTATCCACGAAAAAGTACACCCTTTGCCAGTCTTAACTCTTGTTGCTGCAATTCTTTATTTTCTCTGTATTAAACTGTCAAACACCAAGCGGTCACCGGTGACCGCAACCTATTGTTCTTTAATTGTGTCTATATTGACGGTGCTCGACGAGTTAATTTGCTTACTTTATCCTGAATAGTGTTTCAATATTATTGAATCAGAAATTCTGAACCATCTGCTTTAGTTTAAAAAATAAAGTCGTTTTCTCATGAACAAGTATTCTCTCTCGCCGCAACATCGCAAGTCGCAACCAGACTTAAGGAACACATACGCAGTGTGAAGAACCGTGACACTCATACATCGGCAGTAGCCGAGCATGCGTGTAGCGCGGGCACGGCTCACTTCCTCCGTTTCGACAAGGTCTCAGCACTGGCGAGAGAGAAATACTTCGTACCGCGGAAAGTACGTGAGGCCATCGAAATAAGCCGTCGACCGAACTTCAACAGAGACGGTGGCTGGGCATTACCACCTGCCTGGAAGCCGAGTCTGAAATCTGCGTCAGACTACAGTGTTGCGGGAACTGATAACTGTTGGAACCTTGCCGATCACCTGGTGCCATTTCATCGTCGACTTCAGGGACACCTAAGACCTACTATACTGCCAGTGCCAAGGTTCGGTTATTTCCGCATTAATAAATAATCGAACTATGCCGTGAAGCCATGAACATGATATAAAGTATTGACACAAAAAGTTTAAATAACTACCTGCTTGAAACTACATATTCGGTAAAATGGGGTGAATAGGGTTGGAGCGGCGAAAAGGGACAGAAGATGGGTGAATCAATACTATGAAGAATTTCCTTATATCTATTCACCCGTCTTTCGTCCCTATTCACCCCATTTTACGGTATGTCACTTTTCCACTGACTTCAAAAAAGGAGGATGTTCTCAATTCGATTGTTTGTTTCTTTTATTACAAAAATGATCATTGGAAGTTTGAATTCCAAATACATAATTCATCTTTTTAATAATAGATAACAATTATTATTCTTAAGATTTTATTTTCAGGGTTCTGGCCTTCAAAGCAAGGAAAGGAATAAGTAACCTTTAAAATATAGGTTTGGAGTTTGCCACAGGAAAAATCCAGAGAAATCGAAATAAAACACCAAAATACAAATACAATTTTATTTCAGCAAGTCACTAGATCAATAGTTAATATAAACGCAACACTTAAAACAATCTTAAGTCTTTGTACAAGGCAATTTTCTTGTTTACAATATCATCTATACTCCATGAGACGAGATAACTGACGGGTATATGTTTCCAGTGACCTCTAGATAGGCCAGCCACTGTATGCGACCATTATCAGGTTCTGTTCACCATGTGCTTGCCTACGAAAACTATTAAGATATTGATGAGCCAACATTCCACATTTTGTGTTATAAAGCGATCATATAATACTTTTAAATGAAATATATTTCTTGTATCTTAGCTTATTTACCAGTCAGTCATCCCCCCTCGACCGTTTCCAACCCCCACAGCAATCAGTTAGTTACAGTTACAATTTTAACCCTAATGTATCTTGTATCCAAATAATTGTATAATAATAATAATATATTAATATATAATTATGTAAAATAAGCGAACATATAATTTGAGTATTGCAACATGTAAATAAATAAGTTTGTAGAACACTTTTAGCGTTGCGTTTGAGAAACCAATAAGGAAATACTAGTTTATTCTGAAAAGCTGTATATAACATCACGTCTCTTATCTCCGAAGGGGTAGGCAGAGGTGCACATTACGGCACTTAATGTCACTTTACAATGTAAGATCCATTTTTCACTATTTATGTTATGAGTCCCATGTAATAGTAGGTGAGCCTATTGCCATATACCGGGCACAATTCCAGATTCCGTGCTACTACTGAGAATTTTTAAAAAAACTACAGCTTTTTGTGTGTTTGATCTTCGATTACATTAATCAAATAAATGTATCCAGTCTATTTAACAATTATGCAACGCCATTTTGCTCAATGCAACTTTGGCCAGCTACAATCCATATTTCTTTTAAATCTCAATCACAAAGCTAAAAGTGTAACCACATGAGGCCTAATATTTTATCTCTAATCTCAAATAAGTACGTAGTTTGATTTCTTTAACTATTGAGCGCACAATTCGTTACTCTTGTTAAAAAAGGAATGTTGTTAATATGACCAGCGTAAAAAAAGCGACGGCGTTCGTATTAAAATTAAATTAATAAATTATTGTAGCGAAAAATCGAGGTTATCATTGTATAAAAATTGTATATAAATTAGCCTCTAAGTGTATAAAAAAGCGGTAAAATAAAATTATTCATATATTTCGTATAAAAAACGCTTAGAACCCCGTCGCTTCGTTCAGCACGTGATCGCGAAAAGGTTATATAAAAAAATCTTGAACAAAACGTTTCACATGATTTCGTTAATTATCATTTTCATCCATTTTCTTTTTAAACTTTCTGTAAATTAAAAAAAAATAAAAAATAAAAATAAAATTCACGTTTACGAAACCATTTGCTTGTAAAACAATTATCCTGCAATCGCTTGATAAGGCTAATAATTGTGTTTTTAAGCACAACATTTCATTTTTTCATCACTTCTTGAGCAGCTCAAGTACATTTCCTACCAGCGCGCAGTACATAATTAATTTACGAGCAAATATAATAAAAAACAATATAAAAACATAATACATAATACTTCGACGAACATTACCCAACTAAATACATAAAATTACGCTAAATTTGGTGCGCTAACTAAAACACTCGTGACGTATAAATGCTATCATGAAGTTGTACTTAGTTTTACTGTAAAATAAATTATAACACCACAAAATTACTTGTATTAAAGTATATACAAAGATATCGATACCAACGGCCGAAATGAATAATAGGGTAGTTTCCTAAAATTTATTTTAATGTCCGTCTGGTACATTAATTTAAACTGTCAAACACCAACCGGTCACCGGTGACCGCAACCTATTGTTCTATAATTGTGTCTACAAAACCGGTACTCGACGAGTTAAAACATTAGACACGTATTTTTTCTATTCTCACAAAATTAAATACTTTCAACGATATATTCATTTGAAATATCGTGTGACGTCACAGCGTGTGACATTTTGTAGCACGCTATGACGTAACGACCTCCCACTCCTAAACTTAGCGCCATTTTATCTAAGTATTGCAACTTAATAAGAGAAAATAAAAAAATACGTGTCTAATATTTTTTCATTGTCTAACTGACGGACTAATTAGATTTTTAATTTTGATACCCTGGAAACTACCCAATTGATGTTAATAAAGTCACACTTGCGACCACTGTGCCACCGAAACATACTTAACAAAATTTATTGTGTTTATTTAATTTACAGTAAAAATAGATACAACAATGATTCTTCGAGATTACAAACTCTAGTCAAAGACAAAAATGCAAATACATTGAGCTGAGTTCACAGTCGTAAGGCGAAATTTTCGAAAACAACCAAAGAGTGAAATATAAATAAACATTTCGTTTTAAATCATCGTTGAATAACAGTTCAGTTAACAGCGTTTATAAATAAAAAGGTTTAAATTAACCAAGTTTTTGGCCGCACTAATTTTGTATATCAACTAAAATTGTTGCTATCTCTAATATTACATCATGCCTTTTATCCCCAGTAGGCGGAGGTGCACATTATGCCACTGTACAATGTAACACCCACTTTTCACTATTTATGTCATAAGTCCCATGTAATAGGGAGTGAGCCTATTACCATATACCGGGCACAATTCCAGACTATGCGCTATTACTGAGATTTATTTAAAAATCCCAGCAATACTTTGCCCGACCTGGAAATCGAACCCGAGACCCCCTTGCCCGGCAGTCGTACTTGCGACCACTCGGTCAACGAGGCAGTCACTAACAGTTACATAATGAAATAACGATCAAATACTGAAATACTACTTAATTTCAAGTTGTACTGAAACATCGTGCTGAGCTGTCATTTGACAAAGATATAGTGACAGAACTTTCTTTAGAGCGCCTTAAAACTGAGTGGCGTTTAAGTATTTGACTATAAGAGTTGCCAGGTTATAAATATGCCGCCGTGCATAGCACAGAGAGGCTCTAGGAAGACACGTAGGTCTCCATAGGAAGGTGTCGTAACAGGCCTTGCACCGGGGGGCTCCAGGGGACTCCTGGTCTACTAAGAGAACCCGGTGCCTCCTTCAGAAGCTATTGGTGGCCACAGGGGTTTAGTAAGGTAAAAATCCCACACTCCCTAGTCTCTAAAAGGCTAGGCGCCTTTTGAAGGTTTCCCCCGTCAACACAAAGAGGTTTTAGTTTGAAGATTATAGCAAACTCTTATGTAGAGGAGGCTCATGATTCAGCAGCACAGACTATAGATGATGCACTTTTTTTAAAGGGGGGAAAATCATCGAATGGCTCCTCCAGCCTGGGTGAGGTGGAAGGGAGTGTCAGACTCTTACTGACTAAAAACCACCCCGTACCTTCTCCTGCGCTTCGAGCCGGAGCCCCGGTAACCCGTTAGGTTCTCCGGGACTATAGATGATGCATAGATTTAAGTTGACATACAAAAATAGTGCATTAATAAATGCTTGGTTTTCACAAACGACATTACGTTTATAACATAGTTTAAGATTCAAACAAGAATTGGAACAATCATTCTGAACATTTTATAATAAGTATAATAATTTTAGGCATTCAATGAATCAACAAAATACATGATGGAGGCTTAATAAGGAAGACTAATAAAGGAGAATGAATTTTAATTACTTCTGATAAGTTACTGTTAATTTTCAATTGATATTTAACTTATTTTATAATATGCGTAAGTACAGGCATTTACCAGCCAATATATGACTTCAATAGGGAATCAAATCTTACACCACGACTCAACCTTGGATTAAAGCGGTTCTTCACATTTAGGTAACGCATTGGGCCAATGTATAGTGACCTACGTGGCGGTATGTTCGTAGTTGGCGCTAGCGTTGGCCGGCCAAGCGAATATTGCCGGCTTCGCATATCAAAGGGCCTTGGCGCGCTCCACAAACAGCGTTGAAACGTTTATTTATTCAGTTTATTGTCAATCGTCAGTTGAGACGGTACTGTTGTTTATTACAATGGCGTGGACTAACACTGAGATTGTACAGAGCGGGCATTTACAATTCTCTATATTGGTTCAATGTGTGGAGCCGCCTTTACTTATTCCCAAAAAAAGTTAGGCAAAATTCCACATATCAAATGTAACATTTACTTTTGACGACTTATTTTTAGGAGACCCATTTAATAGCGGTGAGCCTGTTGCCACAGACCTATCTTTTATTGTAAATGGGTCGATTTTGTCTACTATCTCGCTTTGTGGTAAACGACTACGATAGAGCACGTCTACCCAGAGGCAACCTATTCACTCGGGCCTTGAAGACAACGTGGTTGTGCGGAAAAATAGACTCAGGCAAGAATATTGAGTCTAAAATGAGTTAAATATCAATTTATTCTAATTAGCAATATAATATTGGTATGAATGGAGCGACTACATACAAAACATACTATTTTATACTTTCATATGATACTGTTATAGGCCGGCCGCGGATTCAGACGCCAGTGTTGCCATACTTGTTAATAATGTTGCCAGAATTTAGAGTAATCGGTAGAATGGTAGATCTTTTCGGCTATGCGTAATGTGTTATTTCGAGCATATATTTGGAAATCTAGTTTATGTGATAATTTCATTCGTTAATTTTAAGCATTTGGCAATACTATTAACAAAGACGGCAACAACAAAAAATGATGTTTGAACTTTCAAAGTTTATAATTTTTACGTTTACTTAGAAGTATTTTAAGCTCATAACAATCCCTTCGTTTTTACAAGATATATCAGAATAGCCTTCAACAACTTACGACTTACTAAGTATGACCTCTATAAGGTCACGACTAGGCCTTTGAACTTAGAACATTACGACTTGTAAGGCCCTGAAAACCTAAATTTGGCTTTACCAAAGACTATATTTTTGTGGCCGATGTTATTTATTTAAAATAAGATAAATTAAAATGTTTTATAATGTCCTAATCGACTAATACTTGTGTCTGAACTACCATAGAACAGTAAAATTTTGATCAATCTTACTAAAGACATGGCAATAGTTTCTGTAAAGTTGTCAGTTGTTGGCTGGGAATGTATCGAGCTGGTAAATGAACCCGCGGCGGGCGGTGTGTGTGTACTACGCACTCTAGTCGGCTTTCCTTGGCCTTCGCTTGCGAACCTCGGGTCGGTCCACTGGGTCCGCTGCCTTCGTATCGCCACCGCCTTCTGTTTCTTTCTCCTGTTCCTCGTCTGATGACTGAAAAAATAAAATTAGAACATTATGTTGTATGTATTATATTTGGAAGAAGCCCGCCACAACCTCCCCCTGAAACGCTGTAAGCCAGGACCTACAGTAGATACCACCACGAAAACATCAGAATATTGAAGTCTCGCGCGTCTCAGGGACATGAATTGGATCCCGCACGAAATAAATCAGAAGATATTATAAGAAGAAAAAATGTATGTATGTTCGCCTATAAGCTTCGTATTGTAACTGCCATTTCCGAAGGGTTTTTTTTAAGGGGAGAAAATCATCGAATGACTGCTCCCGCCTATAGTGTCAGACTCTTATTGACTAAAAACCACCCCGTTCCTACTCCTGCACGAAAAAAGTACCAAAGCACCTAGAAAAGCGAATGAACTATTCTGTTCAATCAAAAAAAGTACGGGTTGCAAACTTGAAAATATACGTCACAGAAAAAATATCCAATCGGTGCGCGTTTCTCGTACACCCGTGTGTACAATTGCGCGATGGGCACTCAACTCTCTCGTACACCCGTGTGTTGTGTACAATTGCGCGTTGGGCACTTAACTCTCTACACGCGAGAGGTTAACTTACTATTTGCAAACCACAGACAACATTATGTAATGTGACATTCATCAAAACCGGTCAGTCTCTTCACTTGCATTGTCTATGTCTCATGTACTTCCGCCTTGTTCCGGGAATATAGTATTGTCGCTCAGTCGTGCATTTTTATTTAAATAAAGTTTATAAAGTATAGTTCAGGAATAACCCTTTAATTATTCACTTTCGCTCAACCTGCGACCATTACACCAACTTTGTAATAAAGGAATGGTACTTACATCGCTCGGTGAGTTCTTCTCAGCATCACTGTTGTTCGCGTTCTCATCATCATCTACTATGTCATCATTGATCAGCTCCTGAAGATAAAATATGGGACTATTACTTCATAGGATTTTTAACGTTGAAATGTCAACACTAGTAATTTTAATAAAAACCAGATACCCTAGTCACACATCCGAAACACTAATTTCGAGTTGTTTCATAAGAGAATCGAACCCACGATAAGTTGCGCTACAGGAGGCTGGTCTTACTATATTTATTATTAGACTGTAGAAAATGACATAACATAACATCACGCCTTTTTATCCCCGAAGGGGTAGGCACTTAATGCCACTGTACAATGTAACACCCACTTTTCACTATTTATGTTACGAGTCCCATGTAATAGGGGGTGAGCCTATTGCCAATATCGGGCACACTACAGTGTGCCCGAAAATGATTAGATTATTAATATTACCTGGTCATCATCAGACTTTTCCTTAGCGTCCTGGTCTCCTCGTGCGCGCTTGTCGAGCTCCTTCTGTGAGATGAACACCTTGTCCGAGCGACGCGGCGGGTATAGCAGGTCTATTATGCATACTAGGACCTGGAATAGTATAAAACTATTATAATTAATATCTTTTTTCAAAAATTTTGCATTTGAATTTTGGCGATAAGGTGGATCATTTTGACACAATAGTAAGAACTAGCGACCCGGCTTCGCACGGGTGCAATATGCATGTATTATACATATAAACCTTCTTTAAGAATCACTATTATATTTTAAAAAAACCGCATCAAAATCCATTGCGTAGTTTTAAACATCTAAGCATACATAGGGATTTTTTTTTTTTTTTTTTAAGGGGGGAAAATCATCGAATGACTGCTCCCGCCTGGGTGAGGCGGGAGGGAGTGTCAGACTCTTACTGACTAAAAACCACCCCGTTCCTTCTCCTGCACGTCGAGCCGGAGCTCCGGTTACCCGTTAGGTTCTCCGCGACAAGCATACATAGGGATAGACACACGACGGATTGCGACTTTGTTTTATACTATGTATAGTGATGGGTAACCACGGCCCTAGAGAAATCAGACGTGATGCAATAATTGGGTACTCGCCAACTAGTCAAATTCAATACTTTTTTCGAACTGTCAAAAACGACAGTTTTCTATGAATTTTGTACGAGATTGTGTATTGTGACGTCACGTTTTTATAGCGTCAAACAGCATAGGTACTTATTTCTTAAAAATTTGCTGGCAAAATACTAAAATTAAATTAGTCATAAAATCAATTAATGAAAGTGTGATTATTGTTCAATATTATATTGTACTAGCTGACCCGGCCAACTTCGTAGCGCCTAAAAGTTTTTTCTCACCTTTTAAACCTTCCCTAGACTTCCACGAACCTATCAAGACCAAAATTACCCAAATCAGTTCAGCCGTTCTCGAGTTTTAGCGAGACTAACGAACAGAAATTCATTTTTATTTATATAGATTACTTAAATTAAACAGTCTGACTAATTTATTTTTGACTATGGAAAGTACCCAATTATGTTTTGCTGTGCGAGGGTTGTAACTTCCTTGGTGTTGCGGATGTCCTAGATGGCACCGCGCAACGATGGCTTACCATCAAGTCATCCGGGTATGTTCGATATTTTGTATAGATTTATTATAATAACCAGCGACCCACCCCGGCTTCACACGGGTGTAATATGCATGTATTATACATATAAACCTTCCTTAAGAATCACTCTATCTATTAAAAAAAAACCGCATCAAATCCGTTGCGTATTTTAAAGATCTAAGCATATATAGGGACAGACAGACGGCGGATAGCGACTTTGATTTATACTATGTAGTGATAATATTATGCTGGCCAAAAATCGCTTCTTCAGAGTAAAATGACCATAATTAACCCTGAGTCTGGAAGTTCGGCGGTGTTTCACCTTCTTGCCTTGGAAAGCACGTGAAACCGTTCGACTTGCGCATGATCTCTTTCTCCAGTCGTGTCGGTCTGCCGTCCCAGGTTCAGAGAGTGAGGGAACAGAGTGCACTTGTGTTTGCGCACACACTTGTGTACTATAATATCTCCTGCGCAATAAACTAGTCTAGTTAGACTGGCCGCCATGATCGAAATGGATCGGGATATTTTATTTATTTCTTATACTGACCGGTCAAACAGGGCCGATACCGATTCGGAGTCGCGGAGAACCTAACGGGTAACCGGGGCTCCGGCTCAACGTGCAGGAGAAGGAACGGGGTGGTTTTTAGTCAGTAAGAGTCTGACACTCCCTCCCGCCTCACCCAGGCGGGAGCAGTCATTCAATTTCCCCCGTTAAAAAAAATACTGACCAGTCCAAGCAGTGCTCCGATGAATATGGTTGCCAGTGCAAAGATCAGGTAGGAACCCCATGTCGGTAGGCCGTACGTCTCCATCAACATAGTGTGCACACTCTGAAATAAAGAAACGAGAAAATAATTAATATCAATCAATTAAGTAAGAATCGAAGAACCCCTCTGTGGTTCGAAACTAGTAGAGCTTTTCTCAGTATATTCACGTGAGTAACCTGCGATATTTAGTTAATTTAGTATGTCTCACGATAGAAATATCAATCAATATAATTAGAGTTTAATATTTTCACTGCATATTAGAAAAGAGCATACAAAATTCAACATTTATAAGTACGAAAGACGCGATTTAAAAATCACACATTCCACATTTTATTTCGACATTGCGACAGTGTCGGGGTCTACTCGAGAGAAACCTTCTTAACATCAGAAGGGCGAAGTCGCAGATAGAGAGACAGTAAACGAATAAATTGAAAGAACTTACCCTAAGTGCCTGACTAAGTTTAAAGAATTCAGCGACCAATGTCATCTGAATTGAGTGTGGTGCCTTCCACGCTGGTACAGGGTCAGTCTGCTTCCAGCGCTGGTCCTCCACGTAGCCAAGCATGGATTCCACGTCGCGTGGGCCTTTGTATTGACGGAATTCGCCGTCGATTACACTGGAAGAGAGGTTTTTGAGGATGAGTATTGCATTATGTGGTGTTATTAATTTTATTTCTTAGTTTAGGTGTGGGAGAGCCATGCTTCGGCACGAATGGGCCGGCACGAACGGGCCGGCTCGACCGGAGTGATACCACAGCTTCACAGAAAACCGACGTGAAACAAGACTTGCGTCATGTTTTGTCGTGTGTGTGAGGTTACTGGAGGTCCAATTTCCAACAATCCTCAAATTCCTAATCCACAAAAGGTCGGTATCGCACTTGTAACGCCTCTGGTATACCAGGTGTCCATGGGCGACACCGATTGCTTACCAGCAGGTGATCCGCCTGTTCACCGGCGTATCCCATAAAAAAAGTTAAGGTTTTTTGCTGCAATGGTTTCGTTTTAGTGCAAATGTAACTTGTTAACACTAGTAGGAGTTAAGTACCAACGTCTTAGAAGATTTTTTTTTGGAATTAAGAATCCTAGGTCCGTTCTAAGTAAATTAAGGGTTTGAAAACAACGAAGGTTACTTACTAAGTTTCGAAAATTAATCTATTCCAAATAATAATATAAATTCAATTTCTAAGCCCCCAAAACAATTATTTAAAGTAATTTATATCAATAACTCACTGGAAAATAGTAGGCAGCGCAGTGACGACAAATCTACCGCTCAGTCCAGGCGACTTGGTGACGTCGACGGCAGCTGTCCTGACGCCCAGAGCCTTGCGAGTCGCGCGGGTGGACAGGTCGCGCCATGCCGGGGCGAGGGCGTTGCAGGCAGGGCACCATGGTGCGTAGCTGAAAAGTAGAAAATACGGTGAAATTATTCTCATGGCCTGGGGCTTACTCTTGAATCCAATTCCGATCGATCGGCATTGGTATTGTGAAATTTCGTACTCTTGAGCTGAAACACTAGCACCCACATACACACATACATAACATCACGCCTTTTATCCCCGAAGGGGTAGGCAGAGACACTAGCGCCCATTGCATCCGTATTGCGTGGATATTTATTGAACTAAATGGTATTGGGTTTGGCTTTTATTCCGTACTCTGATTGCTATTGTAACAGCTACGATTGTAGTTGTATAGTTTTGAAATTGAGTAATTATTAAGATTTATATTGGATTGAAACTGCATTGACATTGAGATTGGTTACTAGAGTAAGCGCTCAGGTCTACTAAGGGAAGGTCTTTGCTAGTCTTCCAGCATGATGTTAGTATATCAGAAACAGGTCAATACCCTTTGTTTCTATAATCATACTCTTTAACGCGAATTTCTTTTTCATTTATTACTAAGTTTTTTAGATTATACCGTTGAAGTAGGCTTATTATGTCTGTTACTACAGAGCAACTATATTTATTTTTTAATTTTGTTATTCAAACTCAACAGCTCATTAATACATGGGTTGGGAATACACATCAAACCACGAATGCACAGCCTTATGTTGTTTCTGAAAGAATATTAGTTTGGAAAAGTAAGAAAACGAGATGATGATAATTATCACTTAGCCAATTACAGAGTTTCACGACATTTTTAAGACTAGTTTAAGGGAAGATTAAAAGGTAACACAATATAATACAATAATAAGATGCATTATCACATCAGTTCAGTTTGAAAAATACAAAATATTATTATGTTGACAACGCTATAAGTATCACTTAATTACATCTAAGAATTAAATGCGTCTAGACGCATAGTTTAGACTATTGACATATTTATAAGCAACTATAGTTATCTACTGGGTCATGGTACAGTTTGACCCTGATGCTGTTCTTAAAACCTGACGAATAAAATGGTATTGGGTTTGGCTTTTATTCCGTACTCTGATTGCTATTGTAACAGCTACGATTGTAGTTGTATAGTTTTGAAATTGAGTAATTATTAAGATTTATATTGGATTGAAACTGCATTGACATTGAGATTGGTTACTAGAGTAAGCGCTCAGGTCTACTAAGGGAAGGTCTTTGCTAGTCTTCCAGCATGATGTTAGTATATCAGAAACAGGTCAATACCCTTTGTTTCTATAATCATACTCTTTAACGCGAATTTCTTTTTCATTTATTACTAAGTTTTTTAGATTATACCGTTGAAGTAGGCTTATTATGTCTGTTACTACAGAGCAACTATATTTATTTTTTAATTTTGTTATTCAAACTCAACAGCTCATTAATACATGGGTTGGGAATACACATCAAACCACGAATGCACAGCCTTATGTTGTTTCTGAAAGAATATTAGTTTGGAAAAGTAAGAAAACGAGATGATGATAATTATCACTTAGCCAATTACAGAGTTTCACGACATTTTTAAGACTAGTTTAAGGGAAGATTAAAAGGTAACACAATATAATACAATAATAAGATGCATTATCACATCAGTTCAGTTTGAAAAATACAAAATATTATTATGTTGACAACGCTATAAGTATCACTTAATTACATCTAAGAATTAAATGCGTCTAGACGCATAGTTTAGACTATTGACATATTTATAAGCAACTATAGTTATCTACTGGGTCATGGTACAGTTTGACCCTGATGCTGTTCTTAAAACCTGACGAATATTTAACGATCTTCTTCCAGATAATCTTGCCTTGACAATAACTACCACTTCATAAAAAAAATCATCAAATTTGGTACAATCGGGAGCTATTTTATTTAGCTAAATAGCCATAAATTCGATAGTGTCACAATAAAATCCACTAAGGAAGTGATTTCCATTCTAGTGGGTTAAAAGCGTACGTGTATTAGCATAGCGATCGGATACTGACATACAATCAAATGAAACAATTTAAATAGTTGGAGCACAGCCAGGGTAGAGAACGATGTTCTTTTATACTAGTTGTTGATCGCGACTTCATACATGCATAACTTCACGCTATGGAACGCCAATTACTACGTTTTCTATATATCTCTTTCGCTTCGTTGATCGATTGATTGATCGTTCGTTAATCGCGACTTCACTCGTAGGGAAATGATAATTTAACTACCTATAAGATACCTTTAAAAATACCGTAGTCCCATTCGTGTATAAAACTGTCAAACACCTAGCGGTCACCGGTGATCGCAACCTATTGTTCTATAATTGTGTCTATAATGACGGTACTCAACGAGTTAAAAAAAATATCTGGATATCTTACATACATACATATAACTTCACGCCTGTCTCGCATGGGGGTAGGCAGAGACTATGGAACGCCAATTACTACGATTCCTACATATCGCTTCATAAACAGACATCAATCTATATATCACTACATAAATAATGGTTTGTATTATACGATTTTATAGATTTCTCGCAGTTATTAGTTTTATCCTTCTCCAGTCCTCGAAAGAGAGCAGACAGCATTTGTTTTTATACTAGATACGATGACGTTTGCCCGCCATCTCGCCTGGGCCTGGTGGTAACCGGTAATGTGGCCGACGATGGAGCACGCCTACCTATGAGCAACCTGTTCACTCGGGACTTGAAGACACCCAAATTATTCAATCACCCATTCCATTCGGTTCGCACAAGTAAGCTTGACGCGAAATAATAATCACGTAAGCTTGATGCATAATAATAAGTAAGCCTGCAGTTATGTTTGGGGTTAGAAAGAGGTAAAGGCAAAGCATTTATTTCAATTAAACCATAATTTGGTGCTATTGAAACGAATCAGTCCGTCAGTGAAGCTAGGTGAAGCTAGGTGCTCATTCCAAAATGTAGATTCGAATGGAGAAGAACGAGCAAGAAATTCGTTACTCTTTTAAAAAAAAGTATGTTCTACAATGTTTCCAATACTGTACGTATATGTGAGAACAATGCAAAAACACGCAACATTAGGCCTTAGATAGATATTTAAGTCCTAGATTCTATCTGAAAGCATACACAACCTTTAAGCTGTAAAGGTCATATGGCAGAACTAAGGTCAGGCCCGTCCCACTCGTCCCAGCATAACTACAATGTCATGTCTACAATATGTATGAATAAACAGTAGTGCAATCTATGCAAACAAGTAAATGTTCCTATAGTTTCTGTTTCTTTGGTGTAAAGGAAACGTGGACAAGTATTGATGACACAGTTTTCATTCCCGTCTGTTTGGACTTCTACAAATTGTATTTTTCATACTATATATCATGCAGATAGTTGATATAAAAACATGAGGATTTAAGATAGCTTTTGTTCAGGATTTTAGTAGCATGGAAGTGTGTATGAATGAATATCAAGGTTCCACGGAGATAACTACATCTAGGCCAAGTTCCACTTATTTCTATGGCAAAAATTCATCAATCTCGGTCGAGTTTGAGTTGTTTAGACGTAAAACTACGTAATTCTTCTTGCGTAATTTATTTAAAGTAAGAGTATATGGTACACTTGCTTTTTTGAGGGGAGGGGGAAATAATCGAATGATCCCTCCCATCCAAGTGAGGCGCCAGGGAGTGTCAAACTCTGACTTCTTGACTAAAAACCACCCCGTTCCTACTCCTGCACTTCGAGCCAGCGCCCCGGTAACCCGTTAAGGCCTCCGCGGCTCCGTATCGGCATCAGCCCTATTGGGCCCCATCCGTGGTGGTCTGATGGCTAAGGTACACTTGCTTAGGTTTCCAAATCATCTAGAGGTAAAACATACTAAACAAAACTGTAAGCAGTTTTTGGATATTCTTACACGGTATTGAAGTACCTAGTCAGTAGTCATTGAATTACAGTAAACAGGTACAGGAAGTTTGCGCATTGACAAAACACCTGCGGACATTACAAACACAAATGACATCATTATATACACGTAACATTATATACCAACTCGTCGAGTACCGTCTTTGTAGACACAATTATAGAACAATTTTTTTTTGTTTTTATTTTTTTAAGGGGGGAAAATCATCGAATGACTGCTCCCGCCTGGGTGAGGCGGGAGGGAGTGTCAGACTCTTACTGACTAAAAACCACCCCGTTCCTTCTCCTGCACGTCGAGCCGGAGCCCCGGTTACCCGTTAGGTTCTCCGCGACTCCGAATCGGCATCGGCCCTATTGGGCCCCATCTGTGGTGGTCTGATGGCTCTTTGAGGCGCGCGCGGAACGCGACGCGCGCTACAATTATAGAACAATAGGTTGCGGTCACCGGTGACCTCGCGGTGTTTGACAGTTTAAAAATGGCGCCTTTGTCATTAAAACCTTCCTGTTATTTTAATATTTGTGTCTGTGTATTTGGTACATCATGCCTAATGACAAATAAATTATTTTTCTTTTTTTCAAATGTAAAGTAAAGTATAGAGATGTATTACCTAAGTAACGCCTACTGTTTTTTTTATTTTTTATACTTAATGGTCCGACGTTTGAGTTTGACTACTACTGTTAGCCAGTTCGGTATGTTATTGTCAGATTGTAATAATAGGGCAAGCTTTTTAGCTAAATATTAATTGAGGGGGTATTTGAATGTCTTGTGAATGATGTGATCTTTTTATGGTACAGGGCGGCAAACGAGTAGACGAACCACCTGATAGTAAGCAATCGGCGCCGCACACGGATAATCGCAAAACTAGGTGAGTTACAGTAGCCCCGGCTCGAAGTGCAGGAGTAGGAACGGGGTGGTTTTTAGTCAGTAAGAGTTTGACACTCCCTCTCGTTTCACCCGGGCGGGAAAGTCATTGGATAATTTTACGGCCTCAAAGGGGAAGTCACAAGTGATGATTATGAGCATTTTTTCTGTGACTTTTTAGCACACTATCAGCGATAAAACGTAATGTTCGACACTTACGTGTGGCTATACAAGGTAACTGTATTATTTATTGTTAATACCAAGCTACTGACTTTGCTTTTTAATATTTTCTTATAACCGTGTCAAAGTAACGAACATTCGATTCGACACGATAACTTTTATTGTCTCATTATTTGTGGAACAGAAAAATAAATCGATTAGGGAAGCTGGTTGTTTTTATTTTAGACTGCACGGTTGGTGCGGTGGGCAACTGGCTGCCGCGCAACGTGTCGCGAGTTCGATTCCTGCACGGAACAACTCTTTGTGTGAGCTCTTTGTTGTTTCGGGTCTGAGTGTTATGTGTATGTGAACTTGTATGTTTCTAAACGCACCCACGACCTAGGAGAAAATCCTAGTGTAGAGCAACGTTTCATTAAAACAAAAATATTATATAATTTTTATAACAGCTACCGAATGTATTGTTAATGTATTAAAGATAAAGACATTTATTTGCGTAAGAACATGGTATACAAAGATGTTATAGTTACAATATAATAGATCATCACGTTTTGCTTAATAAATAAAGCATGTAAATTTTTACTTCCAACTTATTTGAACTAACTTACACTTAGTTATAAGTGATATATTATTATTGTATTATTGTAACCTATATGTAAGTGTTATTGGAATTTAGATCGTGACTGCTCGGAGTCGGAATGTAATAAAAACTGGAATGGTATAAAATTCAAAGGTGAGTGTATCTTCAAGTAATAAAATGGAATGAATTTAGGTTACTTTGCTTCCAGCTAGTTATGACGATTTTCGATGACTATTTCCTGCTTCATTTCAAATATAGGACATACCCACTTAACTACAATCCAATAAATGGTTTCAATCTTCAAATTTTAGTGAGTAATTAGCATTTATACTTTGTTTTGCATTTGGTTAGTACTATGAAGTGCTTTATACCAAAATATTCACTACAATATTTCTAATACCTATATGATATTAGATATATGTTATGTAATTATGACAAGAAGTCTTTAAGGATTAACATAAACATTTTGTTACAAGTTAATATCTTGTAATAATTTCTTAGAAACTTGTACAATGTAGGTCTGTAACAATGTCTAGCATAGTATTGGCATTGATCCAGTAGGGTGATATGAACTTATCGACGTAAGTCTGACACTTACTCAAGGTCAATAAAATAATGTGTCTGCATTGTCTCATAGTAAATGGGCTTTTAGGCGGGAGGGAGTGTCAGACTCTTACTGAGTAAAACACACCCCGTTCCTACTCCTGCACTTCAAGCCGGAGCCCCGGTAACCCGTTAAGTTCTCCGCGGTTCCGTATCGGCATCAGCCCTATTGGGCCCCATCTGTGGTGGTCTGATGACTCTTTGAGACGCGCCGTACGCTCGGGTCTGGGGGCTTACTCTTGAATCCAATTCCGATCGATCGACATTGGTATTATGAAATTTCGTACTCTTGAGTTACGCCCATTGCATCCGTATTGCGTTGATATTGAAATAACTAAATGGTATTAAGTTTGGCATTATATTCCGAACTCTGAATACTATTTTAACAGCTACGATACGGATTGTTAGGCTTTGACATTGAATAATTATTGAGATTTTATTGGATTGAAATTGCATTGACATTGAGATTGGTTTCAAGAGTAAGCACCCTGGTTCTGGTCGGGCGGCGAGTCACCCATGCTCGCCGTCAGCAGGCCCACGCTAACCGTGGCCGGAGATCGTCCCGCGATCCCCGACGCCCGGTGTGTCCTTTGCGATGGCTGGGTTGCGAGGAGGCAGCGCTTCGCTGCCTCACGTGTCCCGCCTCCTCCTTAGCTAGCATGACTGCTTCGCAAAAGGTTTTTGTCAATAACCAGAATGTATAAGACTCATTATGTAGTTGTTACATGGATGAGTATCAAATAAATATACATCCCCGCAAACTTATAAACGCTTAATATTAGTGGGTAGGATGCATGATGCATCTAAAACTTAGTAATTCATATTATTATTTAAATTTATTCAAACCTACATCAACAAAATATCAATAGATAGTCATAGCATGACTAACAGCATTATAATTAACATTCATGTAAGACAATGATGCAACACCTATACAAACTGCTTTCTTATATAGAGTGACTCATTGGCCCAAAAATTGTCTATTACCTCTTGTTTGTTGCCTGTATTTAGCGAGTATTTTGAGGTGCCTGATAATGGTATTTGTTAATTACTCTGTATTTTAGTGGTGTTTATGGGTACAATTAAAATACCTTAGTTCAGTTAAATTAGTTTAGCCATATTCAATCTGTTTTTTACTAGGGTTACAGTTGTGGGATCCCCGGCCGTACACGTGAAATTATTAGATCACATATCATTTATCAATGAATTTACATACATATTCATTTATTTTAAACATGAGCCGCATATTAACTTTAAGTAGGTACTGAGGATTTTGAATATTAAAGTAGAATTTCACTATTGCTATTTACTATATCTTTACTAATCACTGCCTCCTTGGCTGATTGGTGCGGCTGTCGAGCAAGGGGTCTCGGGTTCGAATACCGGGTGGTGCAAAGTATTACTGGATTTAAAAAAAATCACAGTAGTAGTTTGGAATTGTGCCTAGTATATGGCAATAGGTTCATCCCCTATTACATGGGACTCATACCATAAATAAAGAAATGTGGGTGTTACATTGTACAGTGGCATTAAGTGCCGTAATGCGCGCCTCTGCCTACCCCTTTTTTTTAAGGGGGGAAAATCATCGAATGACTGCTCCCGCCTGGGTGAGGCGGAAGGGAGTGTCAGACTCTTACTGACTAAAAACCACCCCGTTCCTTCTCCTGCACGTCGAGCCGGAGCCCCGGTTACCCGTTAGGTTCTCCGCGGGAATAAAAGACATGATGTTATGTTAATTTCACTATACGAATTCATTTCACTTCTTTATAATACTTAGTAATCTTGATGACAAGAAATTACCACCTAGTCTTTTGTCTCTTAGCTCTGACACCAGAATCACTGGTTCTCATAGGTGCAATATACAAAATAGAACAAAGTATAAGAACTTTAGATGGGCCAATCAGAAAGGTTTATGATAATATTACCGTGGTTGAGTATAGCTGTTTTAGTTGATCAATCTTAAACTGTCAAACACCAAGCGGTCACCGGTGACCGCAACCTATTGTTCTATAATTGTGTCTACAAAACTGGTACTCAACGAGTTAATACATAATTTTAGAAATAAAATTGGTGGTAGAGGTAAAAAATTATTTTATTAAAAGACAATTTTAGAATCGTAATAATATCATAGTTTCTGGCAGTACACATGTACTGCAAGATTTTTATTAACCGACTTCTTTACACAACTAACTGAATCACATTAGTATGTGAATTTGTAGTGACAAGTTAACGAACTTAGCATTTCTTATAAGATTTAAACAGGAACTAAAGTTTAACAATCAATCCCAAAGCGGTCGCTGATGAGCACTCTCCACCAATTCCATTATAGAAATTATTTCTAATGCTTAGAGACTACTTTTATATGCTTAGGTACACAAAATCTTGGTATTCATGACTTCCTCTACTAATATTATAGAAAATATTGTTTTTGAGATTGTATGTTTATTACTCCTTCACTCAAAAACTTCTGAACAGATTTAGATGAAAATTCATATAGAGATAGATAGTCTGGAGTAAGATAATATGTTAATGTAAAAGTAATCCATATTATGGGTTACTTTTAAACCAGGTATGAGACAAAATGTGAATAGAACTCAGTCATATCATGAGTCACAACATAAAGTTCATATTAAGTATTTTACAGAGATGAAATCGACTTTAAACTGTCAAACACCAAGCGGTCACCGGTGACCGCAACCTATTGTTCTATAATTGTGTCTACAAAACCGGTACTCGACGAGTTAAAACACTTCTTAGTCATTGATTTGTGCTATTATATCCCTTGCAGTTTTAAAACTTTTATCATTTGATAAGTTTACAGTGCAATATTCATTCTTATTATAAAATCCATTTAATCTATTTGTCTTAACATATTAAAACATTTTAACAACTTGTTGAATGCTTATTGGGTACTGATTACCCACAAATCTAGTCTAACAAAATTCTTGATCAATGTAGGTAGTGAAATGTAAAAAAAAATGACAAGATTACAGATAAATAAATAAGGTTATCTACAGATTATAACAAGCAAACGGTTTATTTACAGTGTAATAAAATGTGTAAAATTATCTATGATTTTGTTTCTTAGTAGGTAGTTGCTGTTGGACAAAATGGATGCTGTATTTCACACGGAACGTGCGGGAAGTCGCAAGCATGCCATGTACCAACAATAGACAATAGTGCGTCACGGTTTTCAAAACGGTTCTTTCACATAGACCTTAGCGACCTTGTAGTGGTTATTGAACCCGACGGGTGGGTTGTTACTCCCACAGAATTTACACCACTAATATACCCATTATAATATGAAAATTAGTATTTATAGAGAATTAAACTCTCTATTTAAAGTTTCAGAATCAATTCCCTAAGAATTTAGGTAATTCACACCTAAATAATCAAGGAACAAATTTGACACGTTCCCGTAAATTGGCTGAAACCGGCTACAGAAAAAAACTACTTACAACTCGACCATCCATTCTCCTTCAAGGATTTCTTTCCAGTTGTCTTCATTTAACTCGCGGTTGGCACTCACAAAACCAGTAAAACAACATAAAATAAATGAGAAATAAAGGAAAAAATGTAAAATTTGCGAAACCGTGTGTACGCGCGCCATGTTTGATTTTGTTGTAATGTTGCCAGGAATCAAACGAAAATTGCTACAAAATATTTATAGAGTTTTAAATTAAAATATTACCAAATCAGTGATTGGTAGATTTATTTTAACATTTAAAAATATGCTGTTAATAATATTAATTATCAAACAATATACAAAACAATGGTTGTGTTTATGTTTCATTAAAAAAAATTCGTTACATCAGCAACAGTTCTGCCATCTAGTATAGTCTAATTGGAAAAGATTCATTGGGAGTCTTATAAATTCGAGGAGAGATGTCGCTACTTGTGCTACAGATAACTATAGTTTTGGAATTATGGTTTTTCAAGAATTGAAAATTTATAAGCTTTATATGTCTGGTTAGACGCAGCGTTACAACTACCTAAGGTTAAACCTTGCAAAAAAACTCATTGCGATTTTGGTTCTCTAATTATATTTTATTTAACTTCACACTTATATTAATCCCGAAGGCGTAATCAGAGACGCACATAAAGAATAACAGTATATGTACTAGTGTTGCATACTGTATAGTTTCTGGTTTCTTATTCGTGCACGGTTGTCTTATCGGTTCCCATGTAGTTGCAAAATAATTAGGTACTCTTCAAAAGCACAACACCGCGTGACTGTCGGGCTATGGGCCTCCTTTACGTAAGACGATTTGATTGCCATAGTCGTTATCTAGGTATAGGGCTCGAACACAAAACGGCGAATTGCTACGATGCGATTTCGTGCGACAAGGCATCTCCCAGGGTGACCATTCCTTCGACCACCGTCAACCGTACTTAACGTATTATAAATTTGAAACTAGATTGTGACATGGATCGTAAAATGAAGTGTGCACTTCTGTTATTGCTTAGGAGATACAGGAAAAAGAAACAAAGAAGATTTTGGGAAGATAAGATTTTGATGCGCGATGCGAATCAATTCGCAGGTTCTTGCGATGCGTAGGGGGAGCTCGCACATTTTTGCGATGCGACGGCGCATCGCAGTTTTGTGTAGATACGAGCCCGTAAACAGAAGTGGAGATAATCTCTATAACGCTTAGCGGACATGTCGAATATCGGTAAATCGGTATACAGTTTGGAAAAAGTGCTTCTGCTCGGTCTCTGTTACATAGTCCTTTAATTGGTTCTTACGACTACGATGAGAGAATTATTATTTACTTGCTACTTCCGCGCGCTCTGCTCAGCTCCTATTGGTCGTAGCGTGATGTTTTATAGCCTATAGCCATCCTCGATAAATGCGGTATCCAACTCAAAAAGAATTATTCAAATCAGACTTGTAGTTACGGAGATTAGCGCGTTCAAACAAACAAACTCTTCCGCTTTATATAATAGTATAAGATAGTATAAGATTTATATTTTATTTTCAGTCATGATCGTCCCACTGCATAGCAAAGGCCTCCCACTACTCTCTATATAAAGCTTTTTGCAGCCAATCCTTGTCATACACGTCCAGTTGGTTCCGTCATCTCCTTTTGGGTATGCCGCGATGTCTATTGACGTTGAGTGGGCTCGATTTGGTAGTAAGTTTTGCCCACTGCTCGTCTGAATTACGGCTGACATGACCAGCCCAGTTACACTTCAAGCCTACGGGTATAAGACTAACGTCAACGATTTTAGTTGTGGATCGCAGTTTGGTGTTCTTTAGGAGTTCGACTCCGCTTTCCTTTTCATATGGAAATGGGTCTGTGTGTGGTTCGTATCTCGCCTGATGGTAAGCGACGATGTGACGTCGAATGGGGCAGAAGTAATCTTGTCATTCGGGCCTTGAACACACCTAGACACTCTTCGAGAAACACAGACTCTGGCAAAGGTTATATGAGTATATTTATCTTTATGGCAATACGCTCACCCCCTATTACATGAGACTCATAACATAAATAGTGAAAAGTGGGTGTTACATTGTACAGTGGCATTAAATGCCGTAATGTGCACCTGTGTCTATCCCTTCGGGGGAAGAAGGCGTGATGATGAGTATGATTAGCTATATTAAACCTAGTTTATTACGTTTGTGTATAAAACGTTAAAAAATCGTCCGTCGGCCAGTGTTGTGCTTATCGACAACGGTGTCGATGTCGCATTGCTAGGGCTTCCCTACTGGCTTCGTCTACTATCGATCGGCGGTACGTGCTCCGATATATTGTTATGTTCAAGCTCTAGTGTTACGGGTATCAGCTGGTACTTACGTAATTGTTTTACGTCATGAAGGATTAGAAAAAAAATATTTTGGTTTTTCTATAGATAGACTGTTTCTACATAAAATCACGCCTTTTATCCCCGAAGGGGAAGGTATAGAGGTTCAATGTAACATCCACTTTTGACTATTTATGTTATGAGTCCCATGTAAGCCTATCGTCGTAAACCGGGTACGATTCCAGACTTCGTGCTACTACTGAGATTTTTTTTTGAAACTCAGTAGTACTTTGCCCGACGCGGGAATCGAACCCGAGACCCCTTGCCCGGCAGGCCGGCAGTCGCACTTGCGAACACTAGGGCAACGAGGCAGTCTGTTTCTTTTTCCAGCGAGTGACCACTAAGGCATTTGATGATGCGAAGATGTGGACTACGAAGCATGCTTGCTCATAAGAAATCTGATAAGGGACTTGAGGAGACCCAAGTAGTAGTTTCTAAAAATACTCTCTGCAAAGCAATTCCTCTAAGTACTTACCTTTGGTTAAGTGGTTGAAAATTCTCAGTAGTACCTACCACAGAGTCTGAGATTGTAGTTGCTACATGGCAATAGGCTCGCGTCCTTATACGCGAGTTTTTATTATTTTTTATTTTTTTATTATGTTACCTATGCGTGTTCTGCGCAAAAATAAATGGTTTTTCTTTCATTTGCTTAAACCGATGATTAGGGTGTTAGGTACGGGTTCTATTGTGTTCTTTTTTTAAACTGTCAAACACCAAGCGGTCACCGGTGACCGCAACCTATTGTTCTATAATTGTGTCTACAAAACCGGTACTCGACGAGCTTTTGTGGCAGTTGTGGCAGTTGCACTAAAATTATTTCCATTACTAAGCAATGAGAATTGGGTACTTGCCTTATCCAAAAATACATGATTTCGACTGTTCAATACAATAAAATATTAAAAAATAATCACACTTTCATTAACTGATTTTATGATCAACTTTATTTTAGTATTTTTCTATCAAAATTTTACGAAATAAGTATGCTGTTTGACGCTAAAATAACGCGACGTCACAATACACAATCTCGTGTAAAATTCATAGAAAACTGTCGTTTTTGACAGTTCGAAAAAAAGTATTGAATTTGACTAGTTGGTAAGTACCCAATTCTGAATTCAAAATGGAATGTTTACCGTTTCTCCTAGTAGTTAATTGGTTTTGTGCCATCGGTCAAGTAGGTACCTACTTAGTTTTTCTCTGTCTCGACTATGAGCATTGCCTATTTTTAATATCCTATTCAGTTCCCACGTTAAAAACACAAAAGTAATTAGTTAAATCGGTAATTGATCCAGTTATTTGAACTTGTAAAATGATGCAACAAATCCAATTTCGTTTTAATTATTCAATATGAATAAGTTCAAAATAAATTGGTGACAGAAACCATTAAAGTGTCCGATCTTAATTTTAAACCGCAATTAAATGCAACTACAAAAATTGAAACTAGAATAAAATTAATAAGAAAAAATAAGAATTTTATTACATTCTATCGTAGCGTATAAGCATTTAAATAAATAAAATAGATATCGATCAAATCCACCGTGACAGTTGTCAAACATCAAAATATTTTACGCGCGCTTTTTTGTGATACGCTGTCTATGGTCAGGGCTGACTGTAATGGAATTATGTAGGGCTGGCATTTGTACGTTTACCTAATTAATTTAATTTAAATTGACGTTGAGCGTAATGAGGTGCATTCGACATTAATTAGAGGAGGTCGGTAATGTGTATTGGTTGGCAATTTTGCTATGTCTGTTGGATTATTCAATTGAATTATAAAGGTGTTTCCAAAGAGTTGCATCTATCATGCCGAAGTAGTTGACTTCATTTATTTTATTTCAATCATATACAGGTAATGAGCTTTTACAAAACCTGTCAAGAGTTTAATGTTTAAGATGTGAGAACGAAACTCAGCAGAGGTTAATTCGAAACGATTGTAAACGAGTACATGATTCATAATATTATGATATTAAAAATCACGTACTGACAACCCTAACATATGCCCCAGTTTCGTTCGAAATTCGAACGCAGCCGTCCTGTCTATGAGCATTTTATTTTTTCAATTTTCAAATATCGAACGAATGGAAGCTTCAAATCAGTTGTTTATTTTCATAAGTATAATGGCATTGTTTGTGGACAAGATTATTTCGTATCTAGATCAATATGGCGTATTTATTTATTTTTATTTTTGAGTGTTTGATACAACAACGGAGTTTTTGTCGATGACTATGCATTTTAATATTTACTGGACCGCTAAGAATTTGATTTGGTGATATTTTTTTGCTGGGTAGGTACTCCGGATCGATTCGCGGGTCAGAAAATGTAAAGAAACTATGTTAGATTTGTAGGTAATTAGTTGAATCAGAAGCTATCTACTTACTCATTATTGCTGGGTCTTCTGGGTCTTCTTCATGGTTATTTCTTACTTTCGTGTAAGTACTTCTAAGTAGGCACCTGAAAAGTCTCTGGTTGAAAAATTAATTCAGATATCTGGGAAAATAATGAATAATAAACCCTTTCCCTGCCTACCCCTTTCTGTAACAAGTACATCAACTATAAAAGTTATGTTATCAAAACTAAAAAGTTTAAAATATTTGCCAAGTCATAGTTCGATTCAATGGTATCATAGATAACATGTTGGTCCAATACCTTTGCCCGTTATAAAAACATTAGATCTGATGTATGGTCGCTGCTAGTCACGAGATTATCATTGTGTGGTCTGTGTCTGTGAAGTGTGACGTCATTGGAGGGAATGCGTGTGTTATAGGTTTGAAATTGGAACACTTACTTATGCAGTATGTATGCTACGTCCTGCGAGACCGATC